CGCAGTTGCAGCCGCCGCGTCCTTCGCAGTGAGTGGGTGGCTGCTTAAAGCATTAAGCTTGATTTTTTGGCTGGTTTTCTTATTTATTATTTGTTATTTGCTTTTTGCGCTATTTGATTTAAATTATAATTTTATGTAATCATGAAGTGGGCCTGTTGCCCATTGCCGACTGCCAACTGTTGCTGCTGCTGCTAGCCTCAATTAAATGCACGTTTTGTGCCTGCTACTAAATGCAATCGTTTATTGATTATTTGATCATTTTAATTGCCTTCTTTGCCTTGGCCAACGTGAGAATCGAAATTTGTGGATTGACTAAAAGTCAAACGGAATGAAACGACATTAATACAATTTAATATGCTTAAAAGTGATCAGATCAAGAGTGTGGAAAATTACAAACTGAAGTAAATAGTTTCTCACTTAATAACAAATTGGAAATTCAATTAATAAGAAAACTCTCAATTTATATTGATCTTCACTGTCGTACAGGATATTTCATCCACAATATATGTACACATATATAGAGAGAACATATGCAGCTGGAGCAACCCTTTCCAGAATGCACTTCCGATGTCATATCTTAAGCGGCGCTTAAGTCGCACAAACACTTCCTTCACAGGCTAAAAACAGGTGTGACTTGCATGGAGTCTGTGAATACTCACATTTCCCTATTATGTTCAACCTCAGGCTCAAATCTCATGCGCGTGGCCAACTTGTGCCGTTGTCGTTAGTCAAAAATAGCTGGGCGACACGACAGCAACATGAAGAAGAACAACAACTCAAGTGACACCTTTAGCAAATGCATCTGCACAATTACGAGCAGAGCTGAAAGTATCAGATTTCTGTAGAAGGCTACGCCACCACCATCAACACACGGGCACCACCAGCAGCCACCAGTCATGATAAACACAAAGTAAAACTCCTTTCTTTTCTGCGCCACTGACAAACGGCACACTGCACATGTCCTGCAACGGCAACAACTGCAACTGCAACTGCAACTGGAACTGAAACTGGGAGACTGTTGGACCAACTGACTGACTGACGGACTGTTTGGCTGCCTGCTGCACAATCGCAATCAGTCACCCCCATCAGAAAGGCAGCCGTGAAACAAAAGGCGTGGTTTGTATGTGTTGTTGTTGTAGTGCGTTATGCATCGAGCTGTAGTTGTTGTTGTAGCTGCAACTGATGCTGGATATGTTGGTGCTGCGGGTGCTGGTGCGGGTGTGGACCTTGGCCTCGGTATTGATTTCATGTTGACGCTGCAATATTTTCTTAATGAAAACAAACAAAAGATGCGATGGCGTTGGCCATTGGCTTTGACTTTGGCGTTGGCGTTGGCTTGTTGCCAGCGGGGCAGCTGTCCAGCAGCAACAGCAGCAGCAGCAGCACCAGGCAGCCCAAAGTGCGTGTTATTAATATTATTGGCCTGGCCCAAAGGCTGCTGCTTCCTTATGGCCACACACGAGTGTGGCAGTTCAGGCAGGCAGGCAGGCGTTGTATGTAGATGTATGCTGCCAGATAATTTTTTGGCAAGCAGGTCGTGCCGAATTCCTCGCACACACCCTAACACACATATACACACACATGCACACGCAAACAGCATACAACTGTGGCCAATTTAAAACCAATTTAAAGTTTAATGAATTCATAAAGAAATCACTCGCTGGCTGCACTTTCAAAACATATAATCTGCCGACGGGTCGCGACGCCTCGGAGACGGCTACAAGAGTGGCTTGTGCATTCACTTGGAGCTGTGTACCTCTCCTGCCAACCAAGCAGCCAACCCGCCGACCAGTCAGCCTGCTAGCTGCTCATGGCGTGCCAAATCTCATAATCAGTCAATAACTTTTGCCGCCTTCTGGTCGCACGTGGCGGCGGTCTGCGGCGACCTCGACTCGACTATGGGCCCGGGCCATAAGCGTTTCTTTATGTGCCCCATAATCGAAGTGAAATCAATGGCATTGCCTGCATACCATTAACACGAAAGTCGCTTGCGAAATCTCTGGGCCATCGTCAAGGAAGAAGAAGGAACAGCAGCGGGAGAAGTGGGAGGCGAGCCAGATGTCTGCTGTAGTTGTTCAGTCGCTGCGCTTTGATTTGAGTTAAACAAATTTTATATTCGAACAGATTTCCAGCATGACAGTTATTAATTGCAAATATCGCTTAATTCATCGCTTAAAAAGCGACAACATTCGCATAGTTCTGGCGTTGCGGCCAATCCTCCAAACAACCTGTAATCACGACACGATTCAACCAGTCACCGTTACCAATATCTCTGTCGCTGTTGGTTCGTTGTTGGTTGGCTTGTATTTAAATTATGGCCAAGTTGTTGTTGCTGTTGCTGCTTTTGCGTTGGGTTAGTGTGGAGTGTCCGTCTTGTGTGTGTGTGTGTGTGTTTGTGTGTGAGTGTGTGTTTGTGTGTGAGTGTATAATTTACATGGTTGCATTCCATTGACACTGATCATCAGTTAATTTGTTTCTTTATTGCATATGCCAAGGAATAAAAGTGAATGCGCATCGTTTGTTTTGGGTCTGTAGGACATTTGTTATCCACTTTGAATCATTCCCTGAATTTCAGGTGAGAAGTGGCAAGCCAAACAGATAGCTGCCGTAGTATGTGGACAATCCAAGCAATCCACAGGGTATTTTCTTGATGAGGGTTATTGTTATAGCTCATCAGTTGTCGTACAAAATGTTCAGATGATATTCATGGTATTAGGTCATTTTAAAATGTATTTTGTGCTTATTAAAGAAGAAAAGCTGATTTCCGTTAACTGAGGAAATGTAAATGTTTGGTGCTTAAAATGTATTGTTAAAGGAATATACGACAATAATCCAATTGTTAAACTAAAGCTAAGACATAAAATAAATTTTAGGAATCTAATGACTCCCCTACAGATAGGGTTATTGGCTACCCGCCAATTTATTTATATAACTATGAAGTGATGTAAAACCAACAAAGGCTTCCAATTTATACTAATTGAAGGCAGCTTTGTGACCGCCTACAATAATTTTCAGGCAAATTTGTACAACTTCAACTAGCTGAGCAGCTCCACATGATATCGACTCTGTGGAAATCAGAAACAAAAGGGGTTGGAGGAAAAAATTACTTTTTTTTTGCTACATAATCAAATCATTAGTGAAAGGTTTTAGGGCACTTGATCGATAGCGCTGCTCGTTAAGGTCCAATAAAAGCACTTAATGAATAAAAACAGCTCAAATATTTTCACAACAAACTGCGCAAAATACTCGAAATCACAATCCTGAATCTCTGCTTTGCTCCACTTCGCGCCGCTCTGGTCTGGTATGATTGGGGAGACTTAAAGATTGATTGTGTTGACTGATGGTGTTTGGAGTTGCATTGGGCTCTGCAGTTGCTTCTAAGTTCCAATTGGCAAATTTGAATGTTGTTGATGTTGTCGACAACCGTCGCCGCCAGTTTTTTTTTTTTTTTTTTTGAGCAACGGTGGCAACTGCCAACAATTGGGGAGCAACGATATCGTGATGGCCCCGTTTTATTGATGGATTAAGGGCGATTACGCGATCGTTGTCAGTTCAACGTTGCCCAGGCAAACTAGCTGAAGGGCCAATTCGTTTGCTTGTTTGCCAAAGACAAGAGAGACTTAGTCAAAGACGAGACGGGGACATTGCGCAATCGATAATCATGGACGCTGGAGGGGTGCGAGCTGGGATTGGGATTGGGAATTGAGCCGTCATGTCAGGCGGCAGTTAATCAATGCAGCCAAACATAATCAAATTAACTGCCACAGAGAAGAGCACCAGAGGGGACAGGAGCTGCTCTGAGGAGGACAGAGGGGTACTGAGGGGGTGACAGGCTAAAGTCAGGACTATGTAGGCCACAGCAACAATAGTTGTTGTTGCTTATTGTCTAACAATCTTGTAACTAGCTTTGGGGCAACAAGTGATTTGATTGGCGCTGTTGCTGCTGCCCACTGCCCACTGGCCCAGGGAATCTTTTTGGCTCAGTTCAAACAAGTTGCTGGCGGGGAGTTATGAAGTAATGCATTATAATTTGGCCAAGCAATTGGCTTCGTCGAGAGATGCACCTTATCCAAAGTTGCTAGTTGCGAGGCATGTTTGTTTCTTTGGCCACCGCTCACTGTGCACATTTTTCCACAATTTTTCTCCTGCTTTACATAATTGTGGGAAACAACCAGCGGCCTTAGTAAGTAGGCTAAGGTTCATTATGGCATGCCGAGGCACTGACTCAGTTTAGTTCGATCTGTGTTCTCTGTTCTGGCTCTGGCATTTGATAAATTATGCGCCCTGCTATCGAGGCACTGCAAAGTGCAGCAAAGATATCGCTGCAATATCGGGCAATCGACTTGATTAATACACCGACCAGAACAACGATGGTTCATCAGAATCACCTTCCCACTCTCGCTCCCCATTGACTTGGGAGTAACCTGTTTCCCAGCAGTTGGCGCCTGATACACCAATGGCCTGGACACACACCCATAAACCAAGTTCTTGGCTCATTACCCGCATGCGCGCCTTCCTCTCTTGATGTATTAAGGTCGCTGGCTCCTGCATTGAATAGATGGTAGGAGACTCTACGGACTACCGTCATTGTAATGATGGTGAAGATATATAATATAATATAATTGTGTAGGAGTGTGGGAGATATCCCTGATCAAACCAATTACCAAAATCGAATAAGTATATTAAAATATCCATGGAAATATCGGCCTAAAGATAAGTTCTTGGCATGTAGAGATGGAGTACAACCTTTCCAGAGCCATCACTTTCGCAAAGCTGAATCGATTTTCAAATCGATTTGATAAAGATATCATGTAAAAACTCATTAAATTTTAGTTGGATTATGCTCCTCAAAAAATGTTACGTCGTTGAGCTACATCATATATAATCATCGGTGTGCCTAATATAACTGATTTTTCATGTTTCATGATCATGATTAATAATTAAAAAGATTCCTTAGATTTATTTTAAAGATTTTCTAAGACTATCAACCGTAAGCGCGATATTAAAAGTTACCCCATTTAAATTCGGAATATGGCATAAATTGAAACTTGTGTTATTCCTGTTTGCGTTTCAGGGTGTTGCTTGCAAGCACCGCTTCTGTTTCTGCCACCGATGTTGCACCCAATGCGGACTCATGCACAATGCTCGGCATTGGGTTCCCATTGACACAGTAGTGTGGCTGATGAGCAAAAAACCCTGGGCGGAAAGGTGTCGCATACGCCGTGCAACGCGCACAGCTGTGGACAGTCGGATCAGCGTTGACTGAAATGGGATAACGTAGAAATCTTACCCGCCTTCGATAATGCCAATTCCTTGCGACTCATATTGTGTGTATTGGTACATCTTCCTGTACAAGCACTGCAAGTGGTGGGCCAAAAAAACGATGGGCAGGAAAAGTAGACCGCAAAGAAGAAGGCCCACCCAGAAACCGTTCTATAGATTGCCATAAGAAAACATAAACTTTGCAGTATCAGAAGTTGTATCAGTAGGTAATTTATGAATGTGGAACTCACCATAGGATTGATCAAGCGGTCGCAAACCATGGCTACACTACGATAATAAATATACGCAAGCGGAGCGCATTTCCCGACATTATTTAAGCACTCGCTAATGACCATTTCGATATAGTTGTTAACTTGATCGTCAACATAAATAGTGACATTTCGGCGTAGTTCTGATGCGGTTTCTTCGCCCTTATCTCTCATAAAAATGGTGGCTCGTGTTGACATTTCCTTCAAAATTTGAAGGGATTTGTCAAATTGATTGCTCTTGTACAACACTAGTTTATCAATTTCGAGCAGTATCTGTCTCATTTCATTTATGTGGGATAAGACTTTGGGAACGAGCTCATCATAAAATTTTTGAATGTTAACAGCTTCATTCTGCAGAGCGATTCGCGCCCAATCATATATACCCCACTGAGTCCATAGTTTAGGGTGTAATAGAAATATTTCCTTGATTATTTCAGTCAAATCTACTGGCGTTAACTCGTCGCACAAAAACTTTGTAAACTTTTCACTGTGATAATCCCTAAAGTTATTGTTAAGCAGCATTGGTACTTTTAGATTTATATTGAAGTCGAGCGAATTAAACGGAAAGAATTTCGGCTCTGGCAAAGGGGAATGTATAACCTTAACGCGCAATTTGTTTTCAATATCATACAAATTTGAGCCAAGAAGTATACTAAAGATCGTCTCATTGGGCAAACACTCTCCAATTTCAGTTGACATACGCAGCGCCAGAGGATTCGATTGATGGAAGTCTTTTGTCGTATCCCGATTTAGTTTAATAACTGAATCCTTGCGATTTAACATCGATTTAATTTGTGGATTTTCAAACGGTGCGCAGGCTCCCTGGTAGGTAATCAAACCCATGACAAAGTAAAATAGTCCAACCAAAACTACAAGTGAGAACACGCTGAACATCAGCACTATGGCACTTTGTGAAAAGAAAAGAAAATAAAGGTAACAGAAACCGTGAAATACAAATTTTGTTTACCAACTTACATTAACAGGCAAGTAGCTCCAGTGCTTTTGCTGCAGATTTTATCGCTATGGTCGCGGTCACAGCATCCAATTAAAATCGCTATTGTCAGGAAAATCAGAATCTGAAATGGAAAAAAGAAAAGTAAATTTGTTGGATGTTTTTTCTGCTAAGGAAAGTATGCAGAATCGATTAATGGGAAAAATCTACTTTTAATTACAATCATTTATCGACATATCTTTCCTTATCATGCGGAATACATTTCTTAAAATCAAAAACCTTTTGTCAAGAAATCGAATGTCGCATAAATCGATTATATTCAATGAGAATTTACCAATAAAATAACTACAAAAATCGTATAATGGATAATTTTACGCGCCGACCCGAATTTGACCATTAGGTCTTCGAAGGACTGGTTCGATTGCACAGTTTTTGAATGAATTTCAGAGATCACCTCATCGAGGATTATCCGTAAGGTTGTTGATTCTGCGTGGAAAAATGATTGGCCCTCTTTAATATCTTTGAGCAGTGGCGGCACGATTGGATTTACACCAGCCTTAACCAGGTTGACTATCTTGTCTAACTTGATGTCAGTGAGATCCCTTGCTTTTATTATTGATTCAATGCCCTCCATATAATATTCGACATTGGGTAGCTGTGAGAGATAATAGACATATAAAAATAAATTGGCTCTATATATTTAACGTAATCTAATTGTTACCTTATCAAAGTGAAGACACGGTGAGGTATCAATGAATTGAATTCTCGATCTTTGTAAAAAATGAAGGCAATCGCTATTTCCACACATCGAAATACAAACGTAACTTAAGTCACGCTTTACTCCGCGCAAGCCTAATAAATTAAATACTTAAAAATGAATAAGGTCTAAGCAATCTATTTACCGTCTACCAGTTGCCTGCCGTAAAAACGGAGATCCGTGTGCAATCCTCGCAATGTGCTCATCAAAGAATGCGCCTTTTCCATGTTCATTAGAATGCGCTCAAATTCAATCGCCGCAACGGACTCAGAGATATCCAGTAGGTCAGAGTATACGTGTTGGCCTGCCTCTGGCAAAATATATATTGCAGTAGGACAATTGAATACGCGGAATACGGTATTTAAAAAGACTCACCATTTAAGATTTCCTTTAGATGGTCACTCATCTCTTTGTAATTTTTTATAAAGAGATGCTGAATGTGTCGGTGAGCATCTTTAAGGATGGTGCAAGTGTCCTCGGTGCCACGGCGCTTGAGACGATTTGACTGCTGAAGTCCAATATCTAGCAAAGAATGGTTCGCATAGGCAATAATAAGTCCCAGCCTGCGATAGTATTAAGACCATTATAAATTATGGATGACTCGGATTAGACTTACAGAATTCCAAGCATTAGCAAGATGAGAATGGAACTCCAGCAGTAAAATTTGCGTGCATTCTTTTGCTGATCGCAGGGTGGACATCCTATTTTGCAACGCCGGCACCAGATGCAGCAATAACACACACTGTAAATGGTACACATATGATAAGAACTATTTTTGTTTGATTTTAGCACACTTACGCTATGAAAGGTACGATTATGATGAGAACGAGCAGGAGAATAACCCACAAATACACTACCCAATACTGCGCCAAGAGAGTGCTCCAGTCGTTAGACGCCACCTTGGGCCCTAGGGAGAGAATATCCCCTACCTTGACCACAACATAGCCTATATCCACATAGCGTATAAGTTGTATTGTTCAATTTCAAATACTTACCAGGCAGTATTGGCTCAAGCTGATCGAAAAAAAAGTGCACCAATTTGTATATGTGACCCATCGCCAACATGGAATAATTGTGTTCTGTGGTGTAGACAGCATTTGATTGAAAGGCGCTAAAGTTTGTACTGACAAAGTGCTGAGAAAGCCTTGTATGTAATGTAGCATTATTCCAATTACTGGAAGAGTTTTGCTCTGCAATAGTCGCAAGTAGGCTATTGTAATCCCAATCACTGGAGTCATCCTCATCTGATTTAGTTGGCACTATTAACAAGTCCAAGACAAAGCCAAATAATATCACGCTTTGGTTCCAATAGATCCACTTGGTGGTACGTCTTGTATTTGATTTGAGATTTGTAGCTGCAGGCCTTCGAAAATATTCAGACATTCTGGGCTTATTTCAATACTGGCACACTCAAAGTTGGCTCAAAGTTCTTAATGCAGCAATAAATATAAACTTAATCAGATGGTCAATAATTACAAGAATTAGGACTTTAACTGTACTATGAATATTATGATACGTTATTGAATTGAATTAAAGAATCTGTTTACAGTTAAATCTGAAGCAAAAGTATTTTTCAAAAGTGTCAGGCACCAAATAAAAGTGTCAGATGATATAGTAAGTTGACAAGCTTAACTCGCTTTATAGCCACCAGTTAGCTTTCGCTTCATTGTCATGCCAAATTAATCAACTATACTAAACATATATTTAATTATAGTTGTTTTATTCTTTTGAGGAATCGTTCATTTCAGTTATGGTGCTTTCTCGCATTCCTTAATCCTATACCTGTGAAATTCTTAAAGTAGATCAAATCCTTATTCAAGGTAAAGATCATAGCTGCTGACGCTATATAATTAATTACAATATAAGTGTGTAACAGTATAAGGTTCACTGAATCTCAACAAATCAAACCGTTTCTCCATGCTCTGCTCATCAGTGTAAGTATGCAAGTAGTGTCCATTGAAGCAGATGGCAGCTTTGCATTTTTGTTTTTTTTTTTGGTTGCGTTGCTTTTGCTAAATGTGACACTGAGGCTACTGTTCGTAATGGTGTTGGCATTAAAATGGATTACACATTGAAAAGCTGCTGCCTGCGCTTTCGCTCAGGCCCACTTCACTCCACTCCACTCCACTCCTCTCCGCTTTGGGCGGGGAGATGCAGTTAAATCCATTGGCCTGGCTTGGTTTGGCACCTGTGCTGTGCCGCTTTAACTGCCTCAACTGGTTCTGGTTTTAAAAGGTGTTCCTTGTTGGTGCAACCCCCCCTTGTTCACCTTCCAGCAGCTACCGCTCCTTGGCACGCTCATTCTCTGAAAGTCTCGGGGCTTAGTGCAAAGCGGCATTTATTCACGGCATTTCGATTTCAATTACGATACAAATTGTCATTAATGTTGGAAAGTTGTTTTTGCACAAACACAACACATATGCACACTATATGAATAAAGAGATGTGGATGGGGGTGTGTGGGCGGCTGAAAAGTGCTTTTGCTTTTGAATTTGATTGAGTGGATATGTGTATTTACCATATGTATATATGAAAATAGGAATATAGGAATAGAATTACAAGCTATCTTAACCTGTGTTGCGTTTGATTGACTTTCAGACGTTGCGCGTCATAAGGCGGCTGAAAGTACATGCTTGCCTTTACCCGCCTTTACCCACCTTTACCCGTCCCCCGCTCACAACGATAGTAGTAGATGCATTAAAAGCTCATAAAGCACAATCATAATTTCCATATCTGTTACGCTGTGCACCCAAAAACCACACCTCAGAATCAACAAATGCGATTTACTTGACTTGCTGCCTGCTACTCATAAATAAAACTGTTTTTTTTATTATATTTGTTTTTTTAATTTCCCATCATTTTGAGAGCGAAACGCATGTATGTATCTACATATATATGGGGGTATATAAGGAACGAGTGCAACAATAAAAACAAATCACACACATCGATGATTATGATGAAAGGCATAAGCAATCGACACTAACCTGCGACTTGTCTTGGGCTCTGCTTTTCAGAGACCTATCCCATAAGAACCGGACGATGACGCTTCCGGGAGTCGGGAGTTGGGTCTCAGGTCTCGGGTCTGGCACGGGCATGGGCACAAAACACGAGCAAGCAGCACCGTTATGCCTCATTGCCGCCGCCTGCCCGTTATAGAGACTGCTTAACCCCCTAACCCCGTCGTACCCATAGCCAGATCTGCGATCCTCACCTTAAGTCAACGAATTGAACGGACAGCGCCTTAAAAAACACAGACGACTGTTGTTTTTCGATTTGGGGCTGTGTGCTGTCAGCATTTTGTATGCGGTATATTGCGTACTTGTTAAAATATGTTTTCGATGATCGTATGTATACTTCGCCCCTTCTCTCACACAGAAGATGACAGCAGCGGCAAACATGGACAGTCGGCGTTGACTTTGCCGGTGCGTTATTGAAGCGAAACAAGTGTTTAGTCACCCAAAGAACGCGTTGCAGGTAAAATGGGTGCTCCTACAGACAGACACTGACTGCCCGCCGCTCCACACTGCCCCTCCCACCCTCCACCGTTTCATTTCGTATGGAGCACACCCCAAAAGTGTCAGCATTCCTTGCGAATGGGCCGTCGTCGTCGTCGTCATCATCCACAATTCTGCGTGGCGTGCCTTATTTGGTTAGGCTTCATTGAAGGTGCACCTTTGTTACGCTCAATGAGCGATCTGTTTGCCTGCTTTCGCCCGTCTTCTGCTTCTTACTGCTCTTCTTATGCCTCAGCTCTGCTCTCCTATAGCAACAGCTACTTTTGTAGGTTCTACCTTTTATGTTCTGCTTCTGACCAGCGCCTTGAATCATCGCGATGCGGCGGGTCGTTCGCATTGAGTTTGTCTCTGGGTCACTTTTCATGTGTGTAGCATGTGTCTTGTTTGTTGTCGGGCTGAGGGGGGATTGCTAACTTTATATGCACGAATCAGAAACATAATTAATGTTGCCAGCGGTTTCCGGTGCCTGCTAATGGGTTAAAAGAGTCAGCGGTTTGAGAAATTTAAAATTATTCACTGTGTAGCTGGTCCTTCCATTGAATCAGGTGAAAATGATTGCTAATTATAAAGCATACAAATAAGTATTGAATATTTAGTTAAATGGTATATTAGGGTTATAGCTTTAAATTTGGAATCCTTAACTATTTTTAAATATCAATTTCTTTTAAGTTTTCGACGCTATCAGAGATTACAATTGGTAATAGTCGCACATAAAGCATATGCGATGTATACAAAACTTCTATTTTAAGTCATGCATGTTTCATTTGCCACAGCAATATTAATGATCCATGATCCGAGTCAAAGATTTACGATCGGTTTTCATAATTTATGTTACACATTGAAAGCGTCGCATTTTCAAATACCTACGCAATTATCACAGGGCTCACCACTTCGATGGCCTTACCTTCTGGCAATGTGATTCCCTCTTCTCCCACCAAACATACACACAAACATTTATAATTGCAAAATGATCTCGATAGAGTGTGGCAGCTGGGCTGTCCGCTTGATATATATATATGTATGTATGTATCTGGCCGATCGATCTGGCTAAGCGCATCTCCCATAAACCTTATGACATTTTTATGTTAATGCAACATAGACGCGCTCTGTGGCGCCCGCCTTGTTTTTATTACCTTCTAAATGTTGCGTTAAGTCCACCATTAAAACGATTGCCGTATGTTTACAGATTTGTCGTCATAATTGCTTTTTAATGCCTTATCTGTGGAGCCGGGTCTCCTCTTCCTCCTCCTCGCTTGGGTTGGGGGTGGGGCGCTGCTGGCCTCATCATCATTAGGCCCGACACAACTCACCAGAAGCAGCCGCGTGCGCCGTTTAATTGTTTCAATGAGCTTTCGGATAGAATCGCGGGTCGCTTTTGGGGATACCACACAACCGGCCTTATCAACGATCTCTACGAATTTACGCATTCGATTAATGCGACATCATCGATGGCATCTCTTCGTGGGTTCGGTCCAGCGCGTGTGAGGCAACCGCAGAGGTGGGAGTATTGTCTCTGTTGTCGTGTCTATGTGTGGGAAACCATTTGGCAATAGCACAGATTTATCGGGATGGTTCTTTGGGTACCCATTTGATGCTACACAGCTGAGGTGATAAGCGCAACATTTAAACCTTTATGCTAATGTGAGAAGCGGAACTACTGCTGAAAAAATACGATGTTGACAATCGAATTATTTGTCCAAGTCATAAATATTATCGCGATAATATCGTAAATTAAGTAAACTTTATGTTTAAGGCACTCATAACTAACCAGTTCCGAATTACATCACTTAAGCAAATATAAAGGCAACACATAAAAAAAGAGAGAGAAAGAGAGCTGGTGAGGTTTCCTTGGAATTCACATAAAGCTAAGTATACTCATTAAAAAAATTGAATACAATTAGAAGTCATTAAAAAAAAGTATGTCTTCCCCTACACGAAGTACTATTTCATATATAGAAATGTGTACGATGTATAAAATAATGACAGCTTAGGCCTTTCTTCATATAGTAGCTGATTATACAGGCTAGCACGATACTTATCAACACTATACATAGTTAAATCTAGTCGATGTCATGCGCAAGATTCAAGGCTGCAATCGAAACGAAAATGCGAAACATTTTTGCTCATATCAGAGCTGTTTGTAGCCCACAGTAAGCTACCAGTTATCGTTGTTGGTATCGCTATATCATAAATCAATATGCAAGCCGCTTAAATTGCTTAATTATCGGACATGCAGGGGCGTCAAATTAACCCATATGAAATAAGTCATTTCGCTCGGTGTAATACATTCGTATTAATTTCAATTACACACAACATACAATGCAATTATGCGTTTTTTCCAGGGCGGGGGGAATAAGAAGCGGGACATAGAGCTGAACCTGAACCACGGAGCTGAGCATTGTAGCTGTATTTGTAGTGGAGCAAGTCTGCGGCTGGGTCTCTGTCATGTATACCGAAAATCTGGCAATTTATGTGATCAGCGTCTGTGATTTCAATCAGCGCTTAAGTAACTCGACGTGGCGGGAACAGGGGAACGCTTTTCTGAAAATTACTCAACACCTTCTCGACCAGCTCTCGAAGAGAGAACTAAAAAGCCAACGTTATGCGAGTGGACCCCAGACCCCGATAGGCAGTTGCCGTCTAAGCGCGTTTCAGATTTCCTGCCCCAACGACTCCAACACTAGCCTCAGCTCCAGCTACAACTCTGACACTGTGCGGTATGGCGAAAAAAAACTTTAATTAAAGAACACCATAAAAGTGTCGCCCGTGCGATCGTAATTATGAATTTAATCTCAATTAGAGCGTTTATCTTGATTTTTCATGAGCTCTGTGTATGTGTGTGTGTGTGTACGACTCGACTGTGTGTGTGTGTCTGTGTGTGCAGACTTGTCTGACCGGCAATTTGTTTGCCCAACGTTTTTCGGCCGCTGAATTTATTTGCATTATCCTGTATAAAAACGGCATCGGGCAGCGGGGCATGCTCCTATCGTCAGGTCTCTGCTGACCACTTTTTTTTTATTTGCTTGGACATGTGCAAACACCTTTGTTGCATTTGAAAAGATAAACATTTTTCAGCGCGCTTTAGCTGCGTTTTCCAGT